TGAAGATGTCTACTCCCAGTGTGTGGGAATTCCCACACACTGGGAGTAGACATCTTCAGTGGACCTAATCTGAGTTTACTTGTACGCTATTATGGAGCTCATTATATGATTCCAATTTATACACTAGCTACATTTAACTACAGCCTCCCTTGGCCACTAGATGTGCTTTTATAGAAATGATGGGACTATAGAAGAGCACACCTGGAGGAGATTAGGGAAGACCTTTAAAACTATGAACAAGATGATAAAACCAAGTATTAACGTTGGCAAAGCTCAGAAATGTCCCCAATTTTCAACCTCCTTTTCCAGTGCCATTTCTACAGGAAGGCCCTTCCAACCAAGCACTATTTCCTTACGCTATTTGTGGCTCAATACAGGCAAACGTTAATTCTGTTCAATTACTTTTAACTACACCTGTGCACTGAGATAAACATGGTGCCTCGTTATTATCCACCTTGGCTTTTGTTTGAACGTATATTCATAAGGGCAGAAAGTAATATACTTCTCTGAAGGAACCTCTAAGAAAGATGATAAAAGATGAGTTATATAAATAAGGTACATATCCAGTGGTATGGCCTGCAACAAAATCTTAAGTAATAAATTGTAAGAATAGCTATTTATTCCTACTATTTGTTCTCTAAGACCAGCAATTCTCTGAAACTAGAATTACTTGGTTTAAAAGTACAACATATTTCTGAATGCTACCAGATATACTAAGCTTGACTCTCCAAGAGAAACTGATGGACGGCAATCTCTGAAAGGCTTCACAAGGGCCTTTAGTTGCCAGACAGGAAAAGTTTTTTCCTCAGGGTGTGCTTCAATAGGAGTAAATACTGTTCTGCAGGATTAATCCTATTCCACTCATAAATTCTGTTGTTCAGCTCCACAAGAATATCCAGGAGAGGCAGCTTTCTGTAAGGAAAAGGGGGAAAGGAGAGAGAAAAAGTAAATGCCTTTGACATGTGAGACTATATAACTTTTATAAGTAATCTGCAGATTATCAGCTCCAGATTTTGCAAACATGTCCAGTTCTACCCCTCAGCAAAAGGCTATTCAACTACTCTAAGGCACACTTGGACTGTGCAGCACTTGGGATCGTTCCAAAAATGTGTTTTAGAGCATGCAGGGATGCAAACATAGCACCTCCCTGCAACTCCAATATCAAGAAACATAATTATGTAAACCCCATTCATTTATCAGATTTTACTTCCACGTAAATATCTTTAGGAGAACTTGAGGCTCCATGTTTTGCATGGCTTCTCTCTTCCAAGTCAGGGCCACTCCTTACATTACTTGGAATACATAGCAGGGTGACCTTTATTTGGTGAGGAATTCTTCAAGAAGCTTTCCCTGTTCCCAGACATGGGACAAAAAGGGTGCATTTGTATCAATGTTTCCATCACAAGCCTGGAACAGAGGCCCTATGTGTGTATGGCAAGCAGTGGCTCCAAGCCTAACCATCTAAAGCCCCCCAGTTCCCTTCTGTAAAGAAAAGCATATGGGGGACATTGCTCAATTTCAGGGAAACCACTACATTTGTATAGCATACTTTGATCTGTATCAAAACTGTCCCACTTCTGCTATTCTTTCTGCAGAAACCAGGATCAGTGCTGTATTTTATTGTTGTAAACCACCTTCAGAGTTGGAATAAAGGTGGAGCTTAAGTGCAATAAATAAATGATCTGTGCCCCAGGCTACAAATGCATCTTAAAATCCTAAGAAATCGAAATTGTGTGCCACTCCCCTAAATTTCACACAATGTATAATTTCCTGTCATGAGGAAAATCACAATGAATTATTTGAGAAGGACCATTTTTACAGATTTTAAATAAAAGCTGATTTTGTCAGAATGCTACTTTCATATTCCTACCCATTTTCCATTTTCCCACAGAATAGCATGGTGCCTGTACGACTAGTATCTAACACAACCACCTACCTCTTATGAGGATCTATCAGGAGGTCAGCCAAAGCGGAGAGATAATAGGATGACAAGGTTGGGGATCTCTCCAACGCAGAGGCATCCAACATGCAGTGACTCCAGAGAATATCTGCCACTTGTGGGATAGTACACAGATTTCCATCCGCCTCTGTCAGGCTGGTGTTTTGTTGCCAATTTTGTGGCTCAGTATAGTTCTGGATAAAAAAGAGCTTGGGTTTTCCTAAGAGATCGGGACATCTCTCGCCAGTAAAGAAATCCTTCAGCCTTTCCAGTTGGAATCCTGGAACAACGTGGTCTGTGCAGAATATACTTTGATGGTTTCCTCGACTGACAAGCACACAAACAAAGCAATCTGCGTCTTTGTGTGCTTTTAGCCTTGCTACTTCATACAAATCATGCATCATTGCCTCCATAGTCAGAAACAGTCGACAATGTACTTCAAAATGTAGCGCTTTAAATGTATCCATCAACAAACCTATAGACAGGAGAGAAAGATGCAGGAGTGAGAATGTCATGCCTGTCAGAAGGTTAGTGCTCAGGCTTAGGAAGGCCGATTTGGTTTTGTTTTAAGACAGTGTTGTCCAAACTTGGCCACTTTAAGATGAGTGGACTTCAACTCCCAG